CGCCAAAAATTTCAGATAAAAAGTTTTCCGCCATAATTTTTTCGCAATTCCTTAAAAAACCTTTTAAAAATCCTTGTAAATCTTTTTAAAGTCATCCAAAACCTTTACAAACTTTAGTATACCTTTTAAAACGTTTGCAAATCATTTTATAACATTTATAAACACTTGTATATCCCTTTAAACCCCTTACAATAGTGGTAAATCCTTTAATAAAAATGTTTGTAAACTTCTAAAACCCTTTAAAAACCCTTGTAAACCCTTACAAAACCATTTTAAAGTCCTTTTAATGCCTTTAAAAACTTTTGTAAACCCTTCAAAAACCTTTGTTAACTTCTAGAACCCTCTTCTAAATCCCTTTAAAACTCCTAGTAAATCCTTTAAAACTATTTTTAAATCTTTGTAAATATCTTTTAAAATCCTTGTAAATCCTTTTAAAACCATTTTTAAATCTTTGTAAATGCCTTTAAAGACACTTGTAATCCTTTTTAAAAACCCTTTAAAAATCATTGTAAATTATAATAACCATTTGAAAATCCTTTAAAAATCCTTGTAAATCCTTTAAAAACCGTTATAAACTTTTAGAATCTTTTTAAAAACATTGTAAATTCTTTAAAAACCATCAAAAACCTTTGTAAGCTTATAAAACCCTTTCAAAACCATTACAAATCTTTTAAAAAATATTTAAAAACTCTTTTCAATCCCTTAAAAACCCTTGTAAATCCTTTAAAAGACCCTTTAAAATCTTTATAAACCCTTTAAGAAAAAATTGGCGGGAAAAATTTTGTATAATATATTTTTGCGGGATAATATTGTCGAAAAACTTTTTGGGGGGAAAATTTTTGGAAAAAATATTCCGGCCAAAGGAAGAAATATTCTTTTAACTAGAGGCAAATTAGTCATTAAAATTTAAGTGAGGTCAAAAATGAAAATGACAAAAAATTTAGTTTGGCAAAAAGATATCATTAAAAAGTCATTAATAAGAATTTCTCTAAAAAACACTGTTTAGGCCGTATTCGTCTTATTTATATTAACTTACAAATATTTTCTTTTACTTTACCACTAAAAATGTTATTTGCAGCCAATCATATTATAGTGTTGACTGTTGAAGCATTTTCTTTACCCACCTAAAATTGTCTAGATGAACACACTGAATCAACTATATATATATTAATGTATCTTTACTTTTACTTGTTTTAGAATATATTTATTCACTAAAATTGTTGACTCAAAATATATTCCAAACCAAAAATCTAACACGTAGCAATATTGATGATTTATTTACAAAAGAAACTAAGATGAAAAAAATTACGCGATTGGAATGATTCTATGACTAACCAATAGAGGTTGAAAAAGTAAAAGAAAATTAATATGTAAATAGGATGATAGTTATAAGCTCAAAATAATTTAAAAAGATAAATAAATAAAAACAAACGATCTAAAAACACTACACTTATATTCAACTATCATACGTACTGATCTTACATATTCCTAAAATTAGGAAAAAAAAAATCAAATACATATTAAAATATTCAAATTAAATGTAATCTTTTTGGTTTTAGGATTTGTAATTTATTGTATAGTTTCTTTTTGATTTATATATTTTATATTCCTTTTCAAGAAAATAGTGTAATTCTTTTTCTATTTTTTTGTAAACCAGTAATGTAATCCTTTTACTTTTAGGATTTGTAATTTCATATATAATTTTTAGTACACGTGTCAGAATCTAATCGATAGATATGACTGCTATCCCGAACATGCAAGTTACTAATTTTGAAAACCAAGATTTATATGATAAAAAATCCCGCTCTGTACACTCAAATAAAAGAAAAATTAAGTATTTGACCTCACTATTTTAAAAATTAATTCTCTTTCATAGTTATTTTAGTTGGACGAAAATACCCCTATATATGGTAACAAATAGCTTAACGAGATAACGTACTAATTATCAATAAATTATAGACTTTCTTTTATCCAACATTTATACGTCATATGTTTTCAACTTCTATAATATGATACAATGATTCAACATGATAATAAATGATTTATCAGAATAATTTCAAACTTACCTTATAACTTATTATTTTATCACAATACAATATCATTTATATTGTCAATAACAATGTTATCGAATTCTATCAATCACGTATGAATAGTATTATTATTAATTTAACAGATAATATGTAAATTATCGCGGTAACAGATTATTTAACATGTTTAAAAATCTATATTAACATTTTTGAAGTACCTTTGTTGTTCTACCCTTTTATTTTTAATTATTTGCAACCATAAACCGTTTCTTTTTCTTTAATTTTTGTAATTTGTGGGATTAAATTTGAAAAATAACTACAAACCTATACCTATTTCGATCACGCAATATAAGGCACTGGAAATCCTCTAAAATCTATATTAATAACTACTGAATCTTAACTTAAATTAAATCTATTTCGATTACGATCATATTTACTCACTACTCAAATCTCGGCTACCAACTTCAATTCCGCAATCCTAGCCATTCTTGAATTGATATAATATATCATTTCCATATCTAAATATGATTTTATTTACTAATCGTTTGATAATTAATACTACACCATTTTAGAAAAAATCACGATACCATGCTGATTTCTTGGCATTTTAACCAAGATATTATCAAAATACATTTTTTTATCAAGATTTGTAGAACGCATTTTAATCAAAATACAGTTTAAGTTGTTTCCAAAAACCGAATAAGAACGCACATATTTACCTTTACAATCAAACATAACCACCAACGAAATCAAAACAAAAAAGTCCCGATTTTAATGTTTATTCAATCAAAACTAGTCACATCTAAATCAAGAATATTCTTTGATTTAATTTACTTTCTTTGTTTCTCACCAATTAGTATATACCCAAAGACATCTATAAATATCACCTAAAGTACAACCTTCAACACATCAGCACCTTAAAGAATTGTTATTTACTCTTTACCAAAAAAAAGAGAAGCAATTTTTATTTACTTCTTAGTTTTGGACGATGAAAATATATTTTTTGGTTAATTTTTCTATTTTGATTTTGTCGTCTCTACTATAGTTTGTTTATTTTTATTTTTTACTTTAGGGTGTGAAGATCTACCTTTAGTGAGGAGAATGATAATGTGAAGGATGGGGTGAATATATAGAAGAAGGTCGACTCAATGAAAAAGAATAGCATTAATTAAGTTTATGATCGACAAGGAGTAATATGTTGATGTGTTTGTATTTGTAGTTGAAATTTTTAATCTCTTTTGTACATTTATATTATTTCTTAGACATTACAAGTTTTTTTTTTCAAGTTTAAGGTGCTATACGGGAAAATTTTCTTGAATTTTAAATTTCCATATAAAGCATGTATTTATATGATTGGACGGGTTTGGATCGAGAGTAATATAAAATTTAAAATATCATGAAATTATTATATTATTATTTTGTTAGCATGATCAATATTAGTATATAAGACATATCAAATTAAGTTAAATCAGTTGTGTAAAACACAAATTTATTTCATGATGTACAACGGGTTAAATCCTAATTTATTATATTTTCTACTCATTATTTCACATATTACCTAGGTTTCTTTATAGAAGAATGCAAAACAAATTATATAATAGTATACTGCTGGTTAAATCATAAAATAAATACATTACACAATCTTAAAAACTAAATAAAGTAACAAACAAATACATTTTCAATTTCAATTTTTAGTTAAAAAATATTTCCGCGGTGTACCGCGGGTTAAAATCTAGTAAGTTATTAAAATGCTATTAATCACGGATGAACAATGTTATCGAATTCTATCAATCACAAATGAATAGTGTTAGTATTAATTTAATTGATAATATGTAAATTATCGCGATAACAGATTATTTAACATGTTTAAAAATAAGTTATCGAACGCTATGAACATTATTACATATCTTACTCTTTTTTGTTTGTTTGGCTAAATCAAGTGAAGGACATAAATGTCATTTTAGGAGGCTGGAGGTGAGAGAACTAATTTTTGAATTATTACATCCTTACTTTTTGTTTTAAGTTTATTTAGGTACCAATTTTTAACTCACCCTAAAAAATCATGACAAGTGTTAAATATTTTAGTGAGATGTTGATGTTTTTACGCGGGACTTATCTAGACTAATAATTAATAACTAGATTTTAACCTGCGGTATACAGCGGTACGATATTTTAAAATATATTTTTTTATTAGTTTTGTTTGGTATATAAGATTGTACTATAAGCTAAAAAAAATGTACTACTGTATTTTTATTGTAAATTATATGATTTAACCCTTGTAACATTTCATGTCAATTTTTTTTTATAATGGTCATTTGATCAACTTAACTAAATAAGTCTAATATTCAAAAAAATGAAATAATGTTGGCATAACATCTAATTTGAGATTAAAATATTTTGTGAGTTTTACTGTAGTAAACAATCCGTAAAAATATCTATAATCATAATTATGTAAATTATAACCCGTTCCATCACATGACCTGTGCTACACAATTATCATTAATACTTTAGGTTATACATTTTTTTATCGTTTGAGTAATATTTGTCCGTTTTCAAAAATTCAAATTGCAACATATGCAAAAAAAATTATATTTTTATTATACATATGTTTTATGTAATAATATAAATTTTAAAATAGAAAAGATTATATAAATATATTGGAGAAATATCTGATCTATTATGGAAAGATTTTAGGAAATTTTGTTAAATGTAATAAATATTGATTTCTAATTTTACAATTTTATTATGATTTAATTACATAATTTACCTTAAATTTTTGTTATTTATTCAAATGGCAAAAGTTTAATTTTGCAAATAATACAAAATAAAAGGGTAGAACACAAAAGATACTTCAAAAAGATACTAGATTTCCTACATAATTTATCTCTAAATTTATCTCTAAATTTATATATAGTATATGTATCTTAAAGTTTCGAAGCAATCAGGTTGATATCATACAACGAAACCCTAAGGATGGATACGCCAAACAACTTGTTGAGAGAATTAGAGAGCCTAGAAGTTTCTTCAAATCAAGATTGGTCCAAGCTTTGTCCCGATCTTTTGCGAAAGATCATCGAAAGCTTGAGTTCTATTGATTATCACCGAACAAAACATGTTTGCTCAACTTGGTATCATGTTTGGAAAACATGCGCAAAGCGACGTCTCTGTCCATGGCGGATCATATACCAAGACAAGACTTATAAGTTGTTAGATCTCGGTGAAGACAAGATTTACACGACACAATACGTCGGACTCTCCGACAATACCTATTTTATGGGTAGCTCCGGGAACTGGTTCTTGATGGTAGATTCTCATCTCGATCTCTATATTTTTAACCTTTTAACGTGTGAAAAGATCAATCTCCCTTCAATGGATAGTACTCCAATACGTGGTGGTGAGCTTCAAACGAAGCCTTGAGTGATCAGGACACCGCGAGTGGGGACACTTTGTTGAGCCTTGTCGTAAGGATCGTGTGTCGGAAGACATCTACGGACACAAACGGTCAGGAGCTGTTGTGTGGATTAACGAGAGAACAAGTGATTACTTCGTTGCTTGGATTTTCAAACAGCATTACTTGTTCACTTACAAGAAAGGAGATGATTCGTGGTGGAACTGGAATAGTAATTGGGAAACCGGTGGCAAAAACTTAGGTTATCTTGATTTGGCTTATAAGAATAGTAAGCTTTATCTATATACTACGAATAATCATATCAAGATTATCGATTTCTCTGGTGATTTCCCCGTGGAAGAAACCGAAAATAACCGGTATCGAGATCATCCTTTTAAGGCTCCTTGGATTGAAGGCGCATTTGTTATGACGCCGCGAATAGCCATTGAGAAATCAGGAGAGGTTTTGGTCATCTTGAGTTTAAATATAAGACAGGAGCTTTCGTATTACGTCTTTAAGATGAATCTTGAGAGTGGCAAATGGAAAAAGGTAGTATCTATTGGAGATGATGAGATGATAATCTTATGTCATGGTGTTACGGTAAGAGCACCTATTCAAGATGTTGGTGATGGAGTAAAGAGTGGTTCGATCTTTTTCGTTGAAGATTGTGATCGTTGGCCAACGTATTATTGTAAGTCAGATTGTGGTATCTTTGATATTGCCACAAATACAATTAAGTGGCATGAGAAACCTCGTGAACGTACGAATAAAAGTCATTGGTTTGCTCCAAGGTTTTGATTAGTCTTTTGTAAACATTCTTCAATATTTATCAAGCGATTTTGTTATTATTATTATTATTATTATTTTTTAATTTAGCATGATTTGTACAAAGGGTAACAACAACTCCAAGGAGAAGATTATGTCAGCCGTTTGACTAATGAACTAGCACGAAACTATGTCTTAGCCGTTGATTAACAAAATTTTAAGGTTAAGAACTTAGAAGAAACAGGGAAATATAGTGAGTCCACGACCCATTAATCATGGTCGCTATGTCTAGCCGAGGTTTAGCTTCGGAAGCCATAAGTGTTAGTTGGTGTTTAACAACAAAGAACAATACGAGTGACACACCTAATACCTTTACTAGTACGTTATACTTACTTGTACTGATTCTTGATCAAGAAAGAAAACAATGAACATAGCTTAGGTCAAAATAAGTTAAATCTTTACCAAATGAGGTATTAGCACTTGGTTGTATTAATTAATGTAAAGGGTGAGATTTGTTATTAGAGTCTGGTCAAAGATTGTAAGGGGGGCAGGGGGAGACTCAATAAGCAATACTCTCAAATATGTTGCAACTTTTATTAATATCAAAGACTTCTTCCCTAATAACATTCTTCCATCTAAGTGCGTAACACTGATTGTATCACAAAGCTGACACCTTCTTCCGTGTTTCAAACGTATGATAAGTGATAACAAGACCAAATCATCTTCTTTTCTGCCAAACCATTCTCGTTTCATTGGTTGTGTCAGTAGCCTTTTGCAGTCTTCTGGTTCCAAAAGCTTGACCAATGTTAAGTCACTAACATTAATTAAAACTAGGGGTTTAATATGTTATATTTTCTTACTTATAGTCGGAATGTATAAGATTTGAATAGAAAATTTAAAATTATGCTTAATAAAAAGGGTATGGATTGGAGTGAGGACAACATTACTTGTTTCTACTAGGTTCGGACCCGCGCTACAGCGCGGGGGAAATAATTACATATATATAACTTTTAACGTATTAGAATATGTTACATTTTAATTTTGTTAGAATGTAGTCGATTACGGTAAATCATATATTTTTATAATGTGTTTAAATCAAATAATAAAAGAAAAAGCGAGTAAATAATCATATACTAAGTTTTGATACAATTAAAAACACGGTGAAAATTTAACAGCACGAAATAATATTTGTCGATAAATTATTCATTTTGACTATTTTTGTAGTAAAAGTAGGAATATACGTAAAAATTTACATATTTACAATATATTTTTTTGAAAGTCCAACTCGTAACAGAATTCATTTTGTAAAAAACATTATTCGTAACTCGCTTTATCATTATAATTGTGATTTTAACAAACTACCCGTGAATAATCTAAAATTTACATAGTTTGATATATAATATATTTTATCAATAAAAATTATGTCTCCAAAATTACATTTATGTCGTCAAAAAAATATTTCAATATTTTAAATTCTAAATGTTTTCTATATTTGAAACTTATATTTATAATATTTTGAAACTATTTGAAATTTTAAATATGCTCATGTAACAATGGTTTTAATATTGGTCATACTTATAATGATTTTAAACCATTGTCCAAAATATTTAACCGAGTGTAGTTGAGTATTATATGTCCGTTTTGAAAAATTCAAATTGCAACATATGTAAAAAAAAAGTTAAATTTCTATTAAATATTTATATTATATAGTATAATATCATAAATTAAAAATAATATCAAATAAAAGTGAAAGAAGAATAATATTTTTTAAATAGATTGTATTAAATTAGTTAGAGAAATATTAGTAAATCCTATAATTAGTTATGGAAATAATACAATCCTAAAATTAGATTTGGAAAGTATCCGGTGTATGTATCCAAACCCATTAATCTATCCAATTTTAAAAGATCCAATTACAAATTTCGGGTAATTTTTTGAAATTGACCGACCCGAAAGCACTTTTGTACTTCTCTTTTACTAATATAGGGATATCTTTAGACTTTGTGAAAACTCGCCTTTAGTCTTTGCTTTGGGTGAGTTTCCACTTAATACTAATATAAATAGGGAAAATTAGCTATTTAGTACGTTTTCAAAAAGTAATTAGGAATATAGTACAAATACTATTTATAATTTGTGAAATGGGTGTAAAACACTGTGCGTGAGATAAGAAGAGTGAGAGATAGAAAATAAGGTGGGGTAAGACATGATATGGGTAAAGACGAAAATGGGTTCCCTCATCTCCCTCTCTTCAACTCTCGTCACTCTCAATTAGTTTTGGGTAGAAAAGAAAAAAAATAAAATTTTTAATTAATTAATTATTTTATCTTATTCATTACACACCCCTTCAGTTTATTAATTAAGATATTTGCCAATGTAATTTTTTTTTCTATTTTTTTTTTACATACAAAAATGTCAATGTTTTTTTCTCTATTGTTTGATATGCATTTTGTTAAATAATTTCAAAATTTTGTTATACATAATATATATACAATTATATCTGTACATATATTCTTGTATACAGTTGTTATATATATTTCTGTACATATAATAAGTGTACAGTTTGATCTGTACAATTGTATTTGTACATATATCATATTGTACAAATACATGTACAATGCAATATAACAGTCAATATATATACAATTATATATGTATATATATTCTTGTATAAAGTTGGTATATATATATATATTTTTTTTTTTTTCTGTACATATAATAAGTGTACAGTTTGATCTGTACAATTGTAGTTGTACATATATCCTATTGTACAAATATGTGTACAATTGTTTACTACATATACACTAATATATGTACACTTATTAAGTTGTACAGATGTACATATGTACACGTTATAAATTGTATGGATTACATTTGTACACTTAGTAAGTTGTACAGATCTAAAATTTATAAAAAAATTATTTGTTATTATCAAATAAAATCATCAAACAAAATGCATATCATATAATTGAGAAAAACACATAGATTTTTATATATCAGAATTTTTGAAAATAAAAATTTTCATTAACTAGTATTTTACCTTTTTAGATTGTGGAGAGAATGTAAAAGAGACAAACAAAATATTTTAAAAAAAAATAGAAAATAGATAATGGCATTAACTGTAAATATGTATGTTGGAGAATGGCATGATTGGGTTAACCAGAAATCGCTACAGTACCGTGTATGTGTTTTTACAATTATAAATAGTGTATGTACTAAACAGCATATATAGTTTTGAAAACGTACTAAAAAGCTAATTATTCCATATAAATATGTTAGATAGGGATGTATTAAATTTATGGGTTAATTCAATTCAACTCAATTCATAAATTTTAATGAGTTTTAAAAGGTTGACTCTAATGTATTAAATTAGTTAAAGGTTGAATAAGTTTATGAGTTTATGAGTTAACCACTAACCCATCATCAATCAATACAATAAAAACAAAATGAGGTTTTCTTTAGCTTTGACACATCAGTTTTTGAACACTACATAACACATCATTAAAATTAATATCCAATCAAATCAATTTATTTAATACACATAAGATTTAATTAACCACTTAACAAATCATTATTTTTTAGCTGTAATTTGATGCATTGAAAAAAAAACACAAAATATTATTAAAAGTTTCATTTGTTTAAATGTAATGGTTACAGTTGTGAAAATTGGTGGAAGTACGCAGTTACAATTACAAGAGTTGGCAGGAGTAGACAATTACAATTTTAAACATTTTAAGTGATTAATTTAACATTAAAAATGTGTTCTTGCAAAAGATTTATGAATGATTGACTATCAGGTACAATAATCTTAAACAAAAAAAGTACCAAATAAATATAATTATATAATTACAAATCCACAATTTCCCGCTGAAAACTTAAACACACAATTTTCCCGCAGAAAAGCAAAACACCCCAATTTTCCCGCATATCAATCTATAACTTTTTCCCCAAAAACATAATTAAATCCACAATTATCCATAAAAAATGTAAATCCATAAATTTCTCGCAAAAATGTGAATCCAAAATTTTTCCAACAAAACATCAATTTCCCGCTGAAAACTGAAACACACAATTTTCCCGCAGGAAAGCAAAACTCCCCAGTTTTCCCGCATATCAATCTATAATTTTTTCCCCAAAAACATAAATTCACAATTATCCATAAAAAAATGTAAATCCATAAATTTCTCGCGAAAATGTGAATCCAAAAATTTTCCAACAAAACATCAATTCGCAATTTTCCCCTAAAAAGAACATATAATGATGATGAAAATGATGATAAAGATTAATTATAAGACCAGTCTCAACGGAAAGAACCCTTCAAAGGTTCTCAAAAAGAAAAAAAAAATATTATCTTAATAGATCTAGTGACATCTCTATCTAATTATTCACATAACCGTATCTCTAAAAAAAGTTTTAAGAAACATGTTCTCTCTTTTTTACTTTCTCTTTCATATTTTTATCAAAGAAATTTCTATAGAAAGTCTCCATTAGAGCTGCTCTAAGTATTCTATGTTCATTATTAATTAGTTATTATATTAGTTGGCCAACCCATTTAATGATCTAATCCATTAAATTATATGAGTTTATAGGTTGATTCAACTCAATTGTTAAATGAACCCTATAAATTCATAAAATCCTTTAACTATTTGGTGTATATCTTTTATTTGTCTTATAACCAAAATTTTGATCTTAATTGGTAAAACGGTAGATGAGTGTTTTTTTCGTGTGAAAAGAATGCATTGACGAAACCATAGACAAGTGATTGGTTCCTTTGTCGTGTGTGATTTACAAAAATTGTGTATTATGAGTTAATAACATAATATGTGTTAAAGCACATAAAAAACATATTTTTGAAATTCACATGAAATAAATAAATAAACTTATTGTTTACAATTTTCTTTTTACGAATAAGATGTTATATACAAGTGCATATCACCATTATATTTGATTGATATGTAAAAGTAATAATGGAAATAAAAATCGACATTGGCCTGACCAAGTTCGGTACAATGTTACTAACATATGCAGAAGGAATTGTTTCTCTCCATACCCAAAATACCTAACAATGTACGTTTCATGATGATACATTTCACATGTCCTTTCAAATCTATAAACCAGCCAAATTATCTAACTTTTTATTTTTATATTTTTTGTCATTCTTTATGTTATTCATTAATTAGTTTAATGTACTTATGAGAGTATCTAATTAGACTTCATCAGAAAATAAAAAACCATTAGTATCTAAGTATATATGATCATAATTAGTTCTAACAGTTTTGTAATAAAGCAATTAAAAGCTAATTTTTCTCCATCATAACAAGTTAGCAACCAACAAGGATTAGATTTGTGGGGTTATGTGTCTTTTTATCATGTTATATTAAATTTGAAAAAAACTATTTATAAAGCCAAAAAGATTAGAATATATAATTATATGCTATTTTAAAATCAAAAGCTGGTAAGACCTATCTCTGAAGGAATTGCTTTTAATCATAGCATAATCAAGATAAATGTTGAGCTTAAATATTGTATGAATAATTTAGTTATTGAGATAAAAATAACCAATAATTGTGTTACTATATTAAGCTACCTTATCACAAGAGAAGAACCTTCCATATATGTTAAGGAACAATCAATCTCATTCATTCATTCATCAGTAAATACACATATTGGATTCGTTACCAATTCCTTTCACAATACACTGTCTTAAGTGGACATTGAATTGCAACAATATATACAATAATTATATGACCCAAAACAAAAAAACAAATTAAACAATATAATTATACATAAAACAAACCAACATTAATCTTAATATTTTACTTGAGAACCCTAAACTTTTCCTAAAAACATTCTCAAACCCCAAAAGCATCCAATTTATTTATAAATCTTGCTTCAACCTCCTCCAATCTACAAGTCTCTTATATTTTTCTTCTTAAATTCACAAAATAAAAACACAAGTTTTAATATTAAAGAAGGAAAAAGAAAAAAGCAAATATAATATTTTCAGTTTCATCTGTATATAACACACAAAAAGACACAACCAAACTCATAGCTAACTCTAGATTTTTTTTTTCTTGTCTAATTTCCAGTAGAAGGAGGTGAATTACAGTCACAAACAACCTCGGTTTCGATTTCTCTTCGGTGAAAACTCCGGTGGCAGCCACAGGCCGCGCAAGTTAGCGCTGCCACGGTACCTTCCTCTCCCCGGCTTGCCATAAACTCTCGGCAGCCATCAACAGCATAGCCTCCCACGGCAGCAGCATGGTTCTTCTGACACTCACCGTATCTCACAGTTCTCACCGTTAGAGAAGAAGCCGTCGACGAGCTTCTAGATGGTTCTTCCGGTGAGGCTCTCCTTAGTACCACTTGACGCTTCCTCATGCTTTCTCAGCTCCTTCTTCTTGAATTTTTAATGGAATCCAAAGTTGTAATAATGTATATATATTAAAGAAGAAGAGGAGAATATATAAATAAGTTTTTGTTTCTTTTACTTTAATTTCTACGGTTGGAAATAGTTAGGGAGTGAAAGATCGAGACAATTACAAGAGGACCTCAGTTGTTAACCCTAACCCTAGATGAGTTATTTATAGCATTTCTGATAGTAATCGACAACCAACCCTTAGATATTTTTTTGCAACTATGTATATATATATATATATATGTGTGTGTGTAGATGTATATGTTCATGGCCATGGTATATATTGATGCATCATCACAACTAATCAAACCTACCAAGCTAATCTACCAGAGAAGAAAATTAAACATTGATGGGTATATGTATGTATGTATATATGTATATCTATGTTTTGTAAATTGTAATGTAAATTTCTTTGATGTCCACAACTATGGATTTGGTATATAATGCATCCAATGATAATCACATGTTTTGTTTTCTTGTTACCAATATAAACATAATGGAATATACTTTTTTTTTTATTTTTGTCTCATGTCATGTAAAATTCAGATTATGTTTAGAATTGTAAATTGTGCTTTTGGAATAAGAAGACACTTTCATTTTGCTAGAATGCAAACAAGTTGTCTCAACCGATTAATTAGAAGAAAATGAGTTTGGAATCTACTCTAACTTAAGAACGAGATGTTTTATTTGTCATCGTTCTGATCTTTTAATTCGAATGGACGGACCAAAATGTTCGTAACTCGAGAGAGAGAGATATAAAAACAAAACATTCACGAGACATGGAGCCACCACTACTTTGTGAGTTAGGCACCAGTCTTTAGTTGATAGTATCACCCTTATACAATGTATTTGGATCTTCCAAAGTTCTGCTATATATTCAACTTACTCGAAATATATATATGTATACTCTTATTAGATTCCAACAAATACATATTGGGTGGTACCTAGTAAGTAGTAACTAGTAAGTAATCATAACCATAAGCAATGGAATAAAGTTAAGTGGATGCATAATTACACTATGCAAAAGTATAAATACATATTATTACGACAAAAAACTAAATTATGTGTAGAAGTTTGTGGACGCAACTTTTGTTTCGAAATTTTTTGAATGAAAACCCTAAAATGATGAGAAAGCTTTTCTTTAAGACCAAACAAAGTGATTGGTTTGAAAAGGAAGGAAACAGCTAAGCTTGTCTTTTTTAAGACCTAATATGTACTGTGGTGGCCCCTTAACCTTCATCCCCTTTAATCCTCTTTTTCATTTCTTTCATTTTATAGTTAAACATGTGGTTACGAATTTTAATCAAGGCATATCTTTAACAATCCGAATTGGTGGTATCGAGATCGAATGTACGCGTCTACCAAAAACTGTTTATGTCGACGATGTTTGCGAAAAATGTATGGATTTGAAAACGAGAATTCAAGTTTTTGGTGTAATCTAAGCGTCAATCAATAGATTTAGTTTGTAAAACGAATGTGTATGAACAAAAATAGAAGTGTGTATAAATGTATATACATTTGAACCTAACAACGTGGGACTGATAAGTTGGGCTACCAAACCTATTTTGTACATCATGAGGACAACGCAATCCTTCACGATCTTTTGCTCCTTTGTAATTACGTATTGAGATTTTTGAATTACACGTGCATACATTCATTCGTTTTTCGGTTAGACATCAAATTTTCATATTCATGTGTTCCATCAATCTTTTGATATTTATATGAAATATACTTTGATATTTTTTTTCTCCTTATTGATTAGATATAAAGATATCAACTAATACATTTGAATATTTGACATATAACATGACCTATTATGAATTATTTGATAAAAATTTATAACCAAGTTGTTCCGCATCGCGCTCTAAAAAAAATCGGTTTTAATCGGTTTCTAGTAGAACATACTCAATACAAATCTCAATCATTCGTATGTAATTTATGAGAACGATCTAGCTATACTTAATTAGGAGACACAATTAAGAAAAATAAGTCTCATTCAGAGGAGTTTTTGTTGATATTGGATTTTAAGTCGTAAGATAGATATGCATGCATGCGTACAAAGGATAAGACAATGTACAAAACCCATTACATATTCTTTTGCTTTGATAAGATTGTTTCTGTCTAACGATAATTAGGAGTTTGTACGACACATATCAGCGCCATAAGTTAGTAATGAAATTTATAGGCCAAACATAACCTTTTTGTAGTTTTATTTAATTATTTATACATAAATTACTAGATTTCATAGCAAATGTATCATTGTTTTTTTTTAATACCATTTTTGGCGCTTTAATCAATTTACAAATATATACGTATAGTCGGACCACCTAACTAAATTAAAGTGGATCAGAAATTAATAATCAATTAAAAAAACATTTCCACATTTATAACGTCAATCTATTCAAGAGTTTACTTTTTCTATGTGTAATTAGAAAAACTTAAAATGGAGAATGAATGTTTTTTTTCTCTTTGAGAGAATGAACTTTGGGAAAATATCAAAAGACTATGTATGTTTTTTTTTAAACGACTCAACCCAAATGATATGTTCATCAATATCGTGTCGTATATTATATAGGGAAAAAGACTAAAAATTCGTCATCTATTATTTTTTTGGACGTGTAATACCTGTACTTTTTCAACTGGAATAATTTTTTTTTGTTTATTTAGTTTTGCTATAAAAGATCTTCGTCTATTTAAATTTTGGTAAATTCATACCCACGATATCATACTTGTTCATCATAATACCCCAAACGATATAAATGTAACTAACTCATACATGGTTAAACTAGATTAATAATTCATGGAACATGATATATTGTTTTATTTATTTAAATTTAAGTTAAATGATTACTTCTCAAAAAGAGAAAAAAATTGCATCCTGCATATCCTCTTTTTTATACGTTAAATACATTAATTTGATAATATGTGACGTTTTAATATAAATAAGAGAAGAAAAACATAATTTAGGCAATTTCTTTACATCCATTTTTTATTAAAAGGGAAGTACATTTTAAAAGAAACGTTACTAGAAATGGTTAAGAGATGATCCGGCAGGCGGAGAGTTTGATTGCGACAGTCCAGCCTTTCATATTAGAAATGGCGGTGACCGTTTGCCCTAAAGGTATGTAATTACATTCAAATGTCATTACAAATATAGGTTTTAAAAAATGAATTAATAATAATCATTAAGGATACATATGTGAAATACTAATTTATTCAGTTTAATTAAATTATAAAAACGAAAAGACATTATTATTATTATTAAAATCAATGACCAATCAAAATAAACATAGAAGATTTGATATCTAACTTATCATATTTTTTTAATTAATTATAAAGTTTCACTTTTCATATTTACATGATTATATGTTTATAAAATAAATAACTCATCATATCAGTCATATAATAATAAAAATATAAATTGTTTCTGCATATGCCATGATTTGAATTTTTGAAAACAAATATAAATTGTTCTATTTATATAAAAAAATTTAACTGGTCAAAATTTCAAACTTAAGTTTATATAAAATTAATGTATAATATTAGTAATACTTCCACAATTTTTTAAAAAAAATTAACGGGTCAGAATTTAATTATATACAATGTATAGTATATATACAACGATAACGATAAATTTATAAATCTTTTAATTAGGAACATGTAAAAATAATATAACTTAATGTTTTTTTAAAGTATCTTAAAATTCTTAGATAAAAAAATTAAAACATTAAAAAACAAGAATTTGGTCTTTTCAAACAAATATTTTAAATTATTCAATGCAATCGACGAGTTAATTGTAACAATTTATATGATAGAATAAATTGTGATTCTCATAACAGACAGCGAGAATAACTATAGCTTATAAAATTATGTATAAAACAAAATATAACCCGTGCTCGGATACTGATCTAGTTTAAGAGAAAACTGTAGGCACTCACTCTATTTGAATATGAAAGAGTATAGATAAGAATGGACCAAACAAACCGAAGCTTACATAGAAAAACACTGATGCCAAATAAGACTAATGAATTCACAACCAAAATTTTACCAAATCAAAACATGCACATTTTAATTTTTATGAACCATTTATCCTAGTTAGAAAAAACAATTATATAACACCAAACTAATTAAATCTGAAATATCGTAGACAACAAAAAATCTGAAATATATAATAAACAACCAATCATATGATTAAAGGATTAAGGGTACATATATAATAAGATTAGAAGTTTGTTAATGACAAAGACCAAAGTGGTTAGTGGAGTAATGATGGTTATGATTTATGATAAGAGACTTTGTGTTCCTTAACAACCCTACTCTCATTCGCAAGCTTCCATTAGTGATGTTGAATGGCTACTTTAAGTTCTTTATCATTGTTTGATTATATGATAAGGAATCATAGGATTCACAACTCATGTAATATATGCGTTACTATATGTATTCCATTTCATACTAAATATTGTTATATAAGACTTAATTTATGTGTCAAAAAAAAAATCGCTTCGTGTAGAGAGTATAAGACTTAATTTATGTGTAATTTTCATCAAACAAATTTTAAAATAATATTTGTTATGAGACTGGAGAAAATATTGGTATGTCTCTATATATATACACTAGTTTATATGTAAATAATAATACGCCATGTAAGGTTCATATAAACAAAAAAATGAAAATGGATTTTTTAAATAATCTTTAATAAATTGTACGATTGCCTTCTGAATATAGAACAACTAATTTCGTTCAATTTAAGATGTTTAATTTTATACTCTTTTTATATATCTAAATCAATGCATGTATGGTGGTAATTAACAACAAAGAAACCGAGAGAGAGAAGAGTCATTGAAGATGAAATGTCACAACTATTACATCATATAAAGAATTTTGAATTCTACATCATGAATTACTAATGGGAAGATGTTATAGCACTTGGCTGGCATATAGTATATTATGCTGGAATCAAATGATCACATACATAATGAGAGGAGTCGCATTAAAGCAGTTGCATCAAATCTGAGTCAAATTAAACTGACTAATTAGCTATTTTCATATACCTTTGCCTTGCACACTCTTCATATGCTATTGATAAACATAAAATTCTTTATAAATTGGAGACATATGATATCTTCAATTACCAGTTACTATTACCATTTCTGTATACCTCTGCCCATACTTTGAACATGATTTTGTTACTTTATATTTCGTTGATTTTTGGTTTATAAATATGATTATATTTCGAGATGTTTTTAATTTGAACATGATTGCTTTTGGGTGTCCTTTAAAGTTATGCTTTAAGCAAGTTATAGTGAAATATTCGTTTTTGCTCTAAATTCTATATATAGTTTTTAGTTACTTGAATAACATTTTTGGAATAAATGTTGTGAACTTTTAATCTAAGTTCTTCGCAACTGATACTAGGAAAGTCTTTCATCCCCTCTTTAATGTGATTTTAATTTAACTTTTTCGCAAATTATGAGAACATAATATATCGATCGACATCCCCTCCTTAGGTTGATTTTTGAGCTCGGGGCATTATAGTACCGTTGCTACTCTTACAGATTTATGTGACTTGTAATTAGCAAGAGCGACAAAATGATTGTTGGTTTCAAATTTGTAAATAAAAATGCATAGAAATAAATTGTTAAACTTATATGATGAAATACATTGGGTTGCAAGTTAATTATGAGATCAACGATTAACTAAAATATCAAAACATTAATTTAACAATAAAGAACTGGTCTCGAACATGTGTTGAGTAATGTTTTTCCCATAAATTAGCCAGTAAATTTGAATACTCAATTACTAAACATTCATTAATTTGTTATCTCCTAATCAAATTTAAATTGCCAAAAAGTTCATTAAGATCACAATGTGTTCTACCTTCAACTTTCATTGGCTAGAATTAGAAATATATTTCTCCATTCAATTCATTCAGCCATTTTATCAAACACTTTTGATGCATAGAAAAACCTAGAATCAAAAACAGGGAGATCGACCGTATTAAAGCATTAAGAACATGAATCAAATAACCTAAGAGTTAAGTATCCATAACAAGATGTTTGTTAGCATTATAGCATTATGTTTATTAAAATTTGCATCAACAATGCCCATTTTCCTCCAAATTTTCCTATTACATGTAGAGAATTGATAAGTGACTAAATTAAACAACTCTAAAAACAAGATTGTCTACAACTAACTTCTTCCTACCCTGCTCAAGTTAACATTGTTTGCATGGGCAAGTTACGGATTTTGTTGAGACATTGAAGTCAATGCATCAACAAATGAAACAACAACTTCAGCTCTCCGCTAGAATTATAAGGCTAAGGCGGATTCTAGATGGCAATAATTAATTTTTGAACCATGGGAGATGGGTTGTATAACGTCTAGATCGTCACCTTTCTTAGCGGGTCTCATATCCACTTATGGTCTATGAGCCTATATTTTAATAGGCCCCATATATATATATATATATCTAGCTTGTGGGCCCACCCATATCCCAAGGCTGGCCTATTTTCGCGTGTATTTTTCTTACTCGCACGAATCTGGTAATCACTTTCGGAAAAATCATGCATTCTGAAATTACACCAGCTCAATACGTTTAGTGATGGAATTTTCTTATGCCCTTTGACAAAAAAAAATATAACTGCATTTTGTTGACATAGGTGGGCCAAAACCAATCGAACCTGCCAGTTTTGTATTGAAGTGAAAACATCTCATTTACGTATAACTTATAATTTTAGAAGTAAACACAATATAAAATAAGTATATATATTTTAAAAATAAGTATAGTTATTATTTATTATTCTTCGAAAAAAAATTAACCGTGCAGTAGCATGAGTTATCCTTAAGTTATTTAATACTGAAAAAACATTGGCCAGATTGTTTGGATTCATTTAAATTGTTTCTTTTTTTGGTGGAAGAGGGGAGAAAAAGGTCTCCCTAATTTATTAAAAATAAAAATAACTACAACTGAACATGTCGGGGAAGCGAAGTCCCACAAGCATCTTCATCCAAAGTAGAAGCAATACAATCCGGACAATGATCTAAAAACTGAAATCCTAAAGGAAGAGAAAATGTATAGTTTACTAATTCATCCGCCAGACGATTAGCTTTTCTATACACATGAGAAATTTGGACTGTCCAATTTTGTAAGAGAAAACCATAGCACAACCGTATCAAAAAAGACAGAGGTAAATATTACTAATTCAATTATCATTTAAATTGTTTCTAGTTCAATTATAGTATCCGGTTTAGTTTTAACAATCGTAGTAACTAGTAAGCAACTGGCATCATCTAAAAATCAAAGGAGAAGTTAAATAATTAATGGTGATATTGACTTTTTCATACTTGTATTTTGTAACTATCTGACGTATCTCATCATAACACAACACAACTCACAAGGTCACACAAGAGATAAAGTCAAACTTTAATTCTTCATCACTTTCAATATTTATAGTGCCATTTCGTTTTTTTTTTTTTTGACAATTAGTTTCATTAAACCTTGTCGGCCCTATTTATTTCATGCAATAAATATTTCTAGTTTTTTTCTTTACTAGTACTATTTTCTTTATTAGTAGGTCATCCAAATTCACCAATCGTAAAGCTATCTTTAAATCTAAGATTTGTTTTTATTGAGCGGCGCCATTTGAAAAAAACTCTAAAATAAATGTAGTGTTTTTACTTAGTGAGTTAATAACGCATAATACAAGGAGAACTAAAATTGAAAATTAAGGCAAGTTGTAAAGTATTTTATAACCCACTAAACATAAACTTATATTTACAACCATATTTTTAGACTAATTAATCTCCATTTTACAGTAATTAAGAACTAACAAGTGGCTAAGTTCTTTTTATTGTTCATTCCAATATATAAAGGTCTAAGTTTACTTTGTAACATCTCAAATATAGCAAAGCAAAACAAAATAAAACAATAATAACACTTTTTAATAAATAAAAAATAGATATAGTATTTTACACCAATACTAAAATCATTGGGTGGACATACACTTCAAGGCCCTTTGAGAATTCACTGGCCAATTTGTAAAACAACCCCATCATTAATTGTAATTAACGAGGGACAACAAATAAAATTATTAAACGAGTTAATTTGGAAAACCCCAAAAAAAAAAAATAGAGAGGAAGATCCTAAAATTAGAACCATGTGATTATAATTAAAGCAAACTCTTCAGAAGAAATTAGTGTTTTCATCCAATAAAATATCACCAATTTGTCCACCAGAGTCTTCAAACAACCACTTCTCAAACAAAGACCATTGACTTTGGTTACTGCATCCAGTTATGTCTGGTTTGGTCTCATGGTCAGGTGAAACTCCAGCTTGTTGATATGATGACTGATCAAACTCAGAAAATGTTGACTCTAAGCCTTTCACATCATCACTCTTGATCACTTCCTTAACCTCAGAGTCTATACAAGTGATTTGATCAGCAGAGTTATGAGTCTTGGGAGAGTTTTTCACCCAACCTTTGAGCAATTTCGCGATATTCTCGGTGCTTGAGGCATAAGTTGTAGATGTTTCTTGTGTCCTAAGAAACCCTGAAGCTGAGGAAGTAGAGCGTCTTGATTCAGCAGAAGATGATGTTGTTGTTGTTGTTGTTGCCGTGTGAGTGATGATTGGTGCTACCGCAGGAGATAAAGCCTCGGAGAGCGCCTTTTTCGCCAAGTGTATATCGGTTTGAAGCCGTCTTTCCCATTGGCCTCTTGAGATGTTTGAGTTGGAATTGGCTGAAGAAGAAGATGGTGAAGATGATAGTGAGGAATGGTCAAGTTCTTGATGAGAATCTTGATTGACTTTGTTGAGTTTCTTCTTCAAATGAGTGTTCCAATAGTTCTTGATGTCATTGTCTGTCCTTTGTGGAAGATATGACGCAATTGCAGCCCATCTACACCAAATATTAAATGCCATCTTTATAAATATTTTTTTATAATTTCCAAAAGATAAAATTAGAGAAATTAAGGGTTATTTTAAGGGGTAGTTTATTAGTTTTTTTTTTACCTATTTCCCAAGAGGGCTTGGAGATGAACAATCATCTTTTCTTCATGTTCTGTGAAGTTACCTCTTTTGATCCCTGGCCTTAAATAGTTTGTCCATCTAAGTCTACAACTCTTACTGCATCTAAGCAACCCTGAAAAGTTTACAAGAACAAACCAATGAGAAAACATCTAAGCTCAATACATATAAAAAAACAACAACAAAAAGATCTCATGCATTAGATCTTAATCTTGAACTATCAAGAACCCTAATTTCTTGATATGGTTTTACATTAAGCTAATTTTACAATCTTAAAGACCTAAAAGAAGAAACATAATGAAATTCAAAACCCATTTGGAGATTATAATTCCTTAATCTCTATCTCTCATCACTCTAATAGATAAGGCAAATAAGATCTACAGACAAATTTTGAGAGATGTGTGAGAGTGAAAGAGAGATGAGAGATGAAGATTACACATACCAGTATTAGTGGGAACAGCTCTCCAATTACCAGGACCATGTTCTTGGATATAAGTAACTAAAATGATATCTTCTTCAGGAGTCCATGGCCCTTTCTTCACTCCTCCTTTGTCACAACAAGGAGGCCTCACCATTATGATAAATCTTGATTAATCTCCCTTAATTAGTACTCTTAATCACACTCCCCTTTATTTCCCACTATAAATCTTTCCCAAAGCAAAAAGAATTGAAACAAACCTTAGTTGGTAATAGAGTCACACAATACACTACCCTTTTAGTTCACTAATTTAGTAAGCTTAAGCTTTGTATGGATCTAATGGTTAAGCTTGGCGACAAAGGTCTATGCCCACTTCTTCTTCTTCTATATATATATAAAAAGAGAAAGAGAAATTTGCTGACCCCTCTTGGTCTACGACTCTTGAGTCTCTCAAATTGTATATTTAAATAAATGAAATTTTTTTTTATAAAAAAAATATGTAAAGCATTAACTACAAAAGTGGAGGTAAAGCCTCCAAAGTCAGCTGTGTGGCAAAAGGAAAAGTCTCTAACCCCTCCATACAAAACCGCGTGGCATTCAATGTGAGCTTCTTGCTCCTTTCAAAAACCCTAAAAATAATAATAGTAATATTAGGTTTTTTATAATTTAAAAGAATAATGGAGACATGCATGATAACATGATAATGATATATGATATGATATATCTCTCTCTCTCTCACACACTTTTGATTTATTGCTTACGATAATTTTAAGAATTTGAATAGTGGCTATTGCATTTATGTGTGTGTGTATTGTGGCATATAGGCTTTGTTAATAATAGAAATTTATGAAACGAGATTTTCTCTGCGTCATGATTTGCTGTTACACTACTCTTTTTTTTTTTCTTATAAATTTATTATGCAAGCTTACGCCATTATGTGATTATGCATTGGTTACCAATCGAAACCATAGACAAAGAATAAATTGCTGTTTTGGATTGAACCTGTGGGTCTTTGGCCATTGTCAAACTACATGATGGTCTACGTCATTCATGATGTTAGCGACTTCACTATGCATTTATATGTGTATATATATGTCAATATGTGTGTGGCGTCTAGATGTATATATGAATACATGATGTTGAATGTTTTAATTCGGGTAAGGTTTGTGATTAGTGTTGATGGACCACATTTTTGGAGTTTTTGGTAAACATTGTTTTAGATGAAACGTAATTGTAACGTTACACATGTCCTTATTCGTAGAGTGGTGAAAATATGAGAATTTGGTGTAACAAGATAATGAAGATATATATATTTGGACTTGATAGACACAAGTCATACACAACTACATTAAGAGTTGTACATAGATTGATATTTAATTGTATACGTTTATTTATGTCATTATCGTAGGTGGTGATGAAAAGAGAGATTAAGAGATATTTGAATGAGAATTTGGTGTAATAAGATAAATAAATATTTTTTTCTTTTGGGTTTTTTTGATAGATACAAGTCATGCAACTATATCTATTTCTGTGAACATGTTTATGTATAATGTCAAACAAACAAATTAAGAAAAAAAAGATCAATTTGGGTTTTCACGAGGCCGGAAGTAAAAGAAGAAGAAGAGACACGGGTTTACTAAACTTTATAATTTTTTTTTTTCTTTTTTGTCAATGTTTGTGCTATGTCTATTTATGTATATAGGTAGGAATTTTGAATAATGATGATGGTTTTGTACAAAAGTGTGAAACTTTTGTTCACTTTGTGGAAAGTTTTGTATTTTACGTTTGATAGATAATAAAAATTTTGTTACTATATAACAGGCTGTTTTATTAATCACTTGTTTGACATATATATTATAGAAACCGAAAACTAATTTTTTTAAGAGAATATGGTTTTGATTAATAATGTTGTATTATTACAACACTATATAATCGTAAGCTACTTTTTCTTTAATATTAGTTTTTATATCATTTGAAGTATATAAATTTAATGTTAAATTAATTCAACAAAAATAACGTTTGTTATCGTTAATGTTAAATCAACTATATTGTTATTTCTTACCATTATTTCTTATTTTTGAAGTATTATATTCGATTGTATAATTGTTGTCTATATTATATGTTTGCAATGTAAGAAAATTAATTAAGTATCATTCCAAAATATTATATTAAATTACAAAAAAAATATTATCATTTTCTACATTTTTCAGTCAATTATCAATCCATGCCATAAATATTTTAGTACAAGTTGCAAAATCCAAAAATGTAATACAAAAAATTCGACGGCCACAAAATTAAAAAATCAAATACTTTACAATTACATTGTAGATTTGGTATTTAATTTCTTTTACTATATAATATAAATCACATAACGCATTCAAAGTGATATGATTCATCATCATAATAAGTATGGAGGTGGAATATAAAGAGGCATAATATATATTCTTATATAAAAAATAAAATATGATTTGAGATTATATGATTTATATTAAATGACAACTTCTTAATAACATGGAATGCATGTGTGATGTATGGATGGTGCTTATGATGTAGGGACTACACAAACACAATTTTCCAGCATCAAAATACCTATTTTTAAAAATTATTTAATTAGAATAAATAAAATAAAAAGTATAAACATTAAAAATAAATATTAGGTACTAAGTTTATTTTATTTTAATTTTATATGTATATATTTAATTTTGTCAATGAAGAGAAATAAAAGCTATCACTGCAAGCGCACATGCAGATTTGATACATAAGAACAAATGCAGAGTTTTTATTCAGACCGTATTTATTATTAGGACAGTGCATGCGATTGATCCGATCGGTTGGTTTATAAATTTCTTAACCAAACCTGAATTTAATAACCGGTTTAGACCGGTTTGTTTTGTTTAATGAGGTTGTTAAAAATGTTATTATGACTATTGAATTGTTGGGCCTCGTGATTGAATAATGGGCCTAGTTAACGACCCCCATTAAAGTACTCACTCCTCATATCTTTGCTTTGTTTGGGAATGGTTTGGTGGAATTAATAAGACTAAAATTTAATTGAAAGCTAACTTTTTGATTGTCATCTAATTCTAATCTTGTCGGTTTAAATTAGTTGGAATGGTAATGTCATGAAAAACATAAGATGAGAATTTTGCATAGTAGACACAAGTACATATCCATTAAGAAAGAAATGTTTGATAAATTTGTTTTTGTTTGGTAAGAGTAATAATTTCTACAGATTTAAGTGAGAAAAATTGCATTAAATTGAAAAAAAAAAAAGCTTAAAGAAGAAGTAACAGTACTTTCATATGATTGATTTCTATATTAGTCTTTAAAAATATTGTTAGCGGGTAAAGAGAGAGGTTAGTGGCACTTCTAGACTTTCGTTAAAATGGTTTTATTTTTAATCGCTTTTATGAATTGATTACAGTGAAAACGATACGGAAGTTGTAGCGAGGAAAAAATGATGAATTCAAAAAAACTTTTTCTACAAGGGATACGTGGAATCATATCCGCACATCTTCTCAGCAAATCACTTGGCACAAAGGGGTTTGGTTTCCTCACGCAACGTCCAAATATAGTTTATGCAGTTGGTTAGCAGTGCATGATCATTTAGCGACCAAAGCTCGAATGGCTCGGTGGAACCATGGAGTAGCCAGAACTTGTCTTTTTTTGTCAGCACTGTCTTGAAACCAGGGAGCATCTCTTTTTTCACTATGCTTACACGGCGAAAATCTGGGCTATGCTTGCTAAGGGAGTTTTTAAAGCAAGATATACTACAGTTTGGCACAAGATTCTCGCTTACGTATCCAACCCTCAACTAGATCGTATCGAGAGTTTTCTTGTTCGATACATTTTCAGGTTACTATTCACACTATTTGGCGAGAGAGAAATGGGAGGAGACATGGAGAACCTTCGAGGACGGCAAGCCAATTAATCAACAAGTCCGTAATCAATTCATAACCATTCAACGACTAGGATATCGACGTTATGACAAAGGCATTCAGCTCTAGTTTCAATCTAGGAGTTAATTTTTTTTCTTGATCTTATTTTTCAATTTATTTTCGATCAGTAGTTTTTAAACTATCCGGTGCACTAGTTGTAACAACGCTATTTTTTCTTTAAATATAATTTAACATTTAATTCGAAAGAAAAACGATACGGAACTACCAATCGCATCATTTTAATGAACTAATCTACACTTAGGTTCTCTAATTTAATATAAATGTAAATAAAACCGTTTTCGAAATACAAAATCTTAAATTTTAAATTTAACAAAAGAAGTTATCCTAAATTTGTAATTTTGTAAAAAGAACCAGAGCAACAGAGAAGACAATGTAAATTATGTCCATTTGATTTCTCAATTTATCATGGATTTCAACGTTGATATATATATATATATATGCGCTTGTCCATACACCGATACACATTAAAAGTTTGTTATGTTTGACACAATTTTTGAATTCCTTGATAAATTTTCATAAATGTTATTTACGTACGTGTGTGTCATTTTACATGTATACTCGAATTTATATAAAAAAATGTTTAAATTTTTTTTATATGGAAGTAAATATTATTTGTTATTTGTTTGTTATATTTTGGAGTCTTCTTTTCGTACTTGGCCAACATGATGTACACTCTAAAAGTATTCGGAGAGGGGAGGGGAGGATGTACATATCGATATTGGAGAACTTATGACAAAAAATTGAGCACACATGCATATCATTGTAAGCACATTTATAAAACAATTGCATGTCTATCGTTAGAAGATATAAAACAAAACTTGGATATATCTAGAGAGTAAGTATTCGTCATATATGAAATCATCTAATATAATTTGTTAGTATGATACTTATTTATTTGCAGGGATATGATTCAATTTAAATGATTAATGACTCCAAAAGATAATATAAACATTTAAACGACTTTAAATAATGTTGTGATTATAGTGGCTTAAATATTGTGATTCCAACGAAGAAAAACAATTATTTTAAAAGTCTTTTACATACATTGATGAGAACATAAAAATTAAAAATCATGATCAACATAAATCATGAATGAATTCCAAAAGAGTGGTGATGTGCGTTTCCTCAAAATTTGTTTAATGAGAGATTTGGTGAACCTATTTACCATGGTGTTTGCAACAACTACTTTTAAGAAGTTACCTTATTATACGTCATTTCAAAGATTTAAAATGATGTATTCATAGAGGGGAGTAAAAGCCTATTGCACATCTTTCCCACAAGATTTTATATAAGCTTGGTTTCAAAGTTAGTCATTCACGTAATCGCGTTACGTGTCAAGCTAATCTGATTAGATTTTGACATGTGTCAAAAAATATTGTTCTTTAACAAAATTGTATAACTAACTATTTTTTTTTTTTGTAAACGTATAACTAACTATTAAAGATATAAATATATATAGGAAAATAAAACTCATATTGCTATTTTTGGAAAAAAAAACCATTTTAGTGGTATTTAAGAGAATTCACCTAGTAAAAATTACTCAAAACAAAAAACAGTTTTTTTTGGGTATATTTTCCTTTTTGATAAAATATATATATATATATTAGCAAACTAAAATTACAATTTTCAAACTTAGCCTAACCAAAATTTACAAGCTTCCAAATAGAAATACAAAAGAAAACAACAAAAGGAAAATAAAAAATACGATCAATCCAAGCCGTTTAAAATGAAAGCTCCACATCCATTGGATCTAGGGTTCAATAGATCATCCTCATATATAAACTCACATCAAACCCTTTTATCCCCTTTCGCCGTTCCTCTACTGTTTCATCTTCGTCTCTCTCTCTTTACTTCACTCAAAGCTCAGCGAAAATGGTTCAACGTCTTGTGTACCGGTCACGTCACTCTTACGCCACCAAGTCTAACCAGCACCGCATTGTCAAGACTCCTGGTAACGTACCAAGCTCTCTCTCTTAGTAGTGATTCTTGAAATGTGTCTGAACTTGTGGTGGGGATCTAAAGGTTTTGTTTTAACTTGTGGGTTTTGCTTAAAGGTGGGAAATTGACTTACCAGACTACGAACAAGAGAGCTAGTGGACCTAAGTGCCCTGTTACTGGCAAGAGGATCCAAGGAGTAAGCTTTTCTATTCATTTTCATTCTCTGATCTGTTTTAGATTCTATGTTCCAAGAAAGTTTGTAAATTTTGGTGTTAGGGTTGGTGTTTTGAGTTTATGTCCCTTGTTGTGTGTGTTAGCTACATTCTCGTCTTAACCAATTTGGAAGAAAGTTTGTGAATTTTGGTAGAAGGGTTCTTGTTTATGTATAGTGAACAATGTGTCAAGAGTTATGTGTACTTGTGTTCTGATTCTTTTGGCATTGACTTGGAATCTAGATACGTTAGGGATTAAAGTATTTGTCTTAGTTTGGTTAAATTTTTGAAAAGCTTCATTCTTTTTCGCCATTGATCTAGATTTGTCTTAGTAGACTACATTTTCATGGAGTAAGCTTTTCTATTCTGTTTCATTCTCTCTAATCTGCTTTAGATTATATGTTTCAAGAAAGTTTGTGAATTTTGGTGTTTTGAGTTAATGTCCCTAGTTGTGTGTGCTAGCTACATTCTCGTCTTAACCAATTTGGAAAAAAGCGGTTCGTGTTTATGCTTAGTAGACAATGCGTGCTTAGTTACGGGTCTTTGTGTTCTGATTCGTTTGGTATTGGTTTGGGACAAAATCTGGAACTAGATTTGGAATCTAGACACTTTAGAGATTCAAGTGTTTGCTTTAGCTTGGTTAAATTTGTGAAAAGCTTCATTATTTTTCTCCATTGATCTAGACTCTTCTTAGTATGCTAGACTTTCATATCCATTTCAGCCAGTCTTAGCTTGATTTGATAGCCTGCTCTTAAGGTAAGCACCATAAGGGGTAAACTTTTCTATTTTGAACCCTTACCTTCTATTCAATTTCATTTCTTATCTGTTTTGAATATTGTTCTCGTCTATTGTTGTGTGTGTGTTAGGTGTTTGACTGTTTTCTCATCTCAATTACTTTGGAAAAAAGCTTGTATACTTTGGTGCTAAGGTTCATGGTTTTGCAGTAGAGAATGTGTCTCAGTTTTGGTCTGCTTATATTGATCAACTTGTTTTGGCATTGAGGCAAAATCCGGAACTGTAAATCGAATCGAAACGTAGTCACTAAAGGGGTTTAATTCACGAACTTGTTTGTTTCCGGTTTGCTAAGCTTGATAAATTAGTGGAAAGTTTCATACTTTTGGGCTGTTGATATGGATTAACAAGGTTTACATAATGGTAAATCGTCTTGGTAGATCTAGACTTCATATTTAATAAAGCCATTTCCTACCTTAACTTAATAACTCCTTAGGACAAGCATCATTAGGCTTTCTCTGATATTTTCTCTTGTGATTGTGGAAATACTTGTTCTGTGATAATGAGTTTACAGTTACTTGCATCTGTTCTTTGATTCGAATTTAATAACCAAGGTCTGGTTAGATGGGTGATTAATCTACTAAGCACTTAATTCATAAAATCAGCTAATGTAATCTTCCGTCTCGCATTATTAGTATGGTTTTTTTATATACTTTCACTAAATGTGATTGCAGATTCCACATTTGAGACCTGCTGAGTACAAAAGGTCAAGGTTGTCGAGGAACGAGAGAACAGTGAATCGTGCCTATGGTGGTGTTCTATCTGGAGTAGCTGTTAGGGAGAGGTAAGTGTATTTCAAAGAGTTCTTTAAAAAAATTTGGTTTCTTATTAAAAGCCACTGCAACTAATCTGAGCACTATTCTCTGTTGTAGGATCGTCAGGGCCTTCTTGGTGGAAGAGCAGAAGATTGTCAAGAAGGTTTTGAAGCTTCAAAAGGCAAAGGAGAAGACTGCACCAAAAAGTTAGAAAAAAAAAAAGTTACAATACGAGTGATGAAGAGGATCTTTTTTGTAGGATTTGAAAAAGCAAATATTTTGTTTTCTAATAATATGTGGATTCAGTTTTGTTCTAAAATCAGATTTTACTTTCTCCAAGTTTCTCTGTTTTAAGTTCATTCGTTAATTTGTAGCTAACTGAGTCATTAAAGAACCACAAGAATATATTAAAGCTCGAAAACAAACTAAAATCCTCAAGAACATAATAATACTCAAAGACAAGCTAACTCAAATTTGATTTGATTTGTTAAGCATAACTTTCATCTCCATTACTTATTTGTATTTACAAACTGATGAGTAAAATGCACTTACCACATACGAAGAAGTTGTTGTGTTAGTTCCTTTGTTTATATCTCACGATGTATCATCATCTTGTTCATGGAACTGCATCAAGGTAATGCAAAAACGAGTAAAAAAGAAAACAAAAGGTTAGAAGAAGCTTTTAACTAAACAAATGTTAGTAAGTGAATAAGAAGAAAAAGGTTGATAACATTATTACTTCCTTATGCTGAGGAATTGAAGGAATGAAGTGGCTAATTCGGCGTTGTTAGGGAGACCACTTGAAAGCCTATGGTGATCGGATTCAGACGGTGGAGACAAGACGAAACGTTCCACTTTTGCATCACAGATCACACACCTGTGATGGTTCTCGTCAAGGCTCTTCTCTCCTAGAATAGATTGAGTAATCTGTTGTTTACAAGAGCTGCACCAAAGTTTGTGTCGGCATGGGAAGTTTGCCCATAGAAGCATGTTCTTGTTGCACCAGAAACACATCCCTTCCTTTAAACATGTCTCATAGCTCTGCCAAATATATATTAATCACCACCAAGTGAGAAACAAATAATTTTAAATTATGAACAGAGCAGAGAGTGGGATTGCATTGCTTACTTGATAAAAGTCGAACTCACGAAGAAAGAATACGGAAGTGTTGTTTCTGATCCTTGTAAGTGTCTCCAGAACCGGATGTTGTAGTTGATGTCTGCTGTTGTAAGATGCAACCAAGGGAGGAGGTTGAGGTTGAGGTTCTGGTGTTGCTTTGAAGGTTTTAGAGGCATCTGCTTCTTGTATGAAGTTAAAACCTGGAGGAACTGATAAGGCTTTTGGTTTGTTGGGAGAAGCAACAGAGTCATTCGTATTGATAATGAGTGGCTCGGGAGGTCTTCCTTTGACCCGAGAGCTCTTGGATTTGGCAGGTAACAGCACCCAGTGTGTTGGATCTCCAAGTTTACCTAGCGGGACGACTTTCATTGCACAGAGTTTTGGAAATGATTTAATGAAGTCGCTGAGCTTGGGGAAACCAATAGAGCTGTGATCGATATCCTGGCCAAAAATAGTGCGGAAATCAGCTTTGAGCGATGAGAGCGGATATCCAGCTCTCCTGTTCTGTGATGTAGCTCGGAGGTGCCCTGGAAACCAATTTACAAACTTTTTCAGCCATGGTGGCACGGATTTTCCGAGGAGTCTAAGTGTTTCTTCGTCATCTGCTTGTGTTAGCACTGCACTCTGTGACTGTGCAAGTTCCGTTTCTTTGCTAACTGCACATTTCACAGTTGTTTATAAAAAGAAATGCACAACAATGCTTGTTTGTTTTTGGCCATATGGAAGAACAATTACTTACAGCAACTGATATTTGTTGGGTTAAGGAGGAAACGTATATCTTGTGACTGTGTCAGCTCTATTGGTCTTTGCTTTCTGCACAAGATGAATGAAACATCAGATTCAGGTGATCACAGAGGGATTATTTATCAAGGATGAATGCTAAGAAAATGGTTTGAGTATTGCCTCACCGTAGATTATGAATCTCTATATTTGCTCCGAATCGAAGAAGCAACTCAACACAGTCAAGATGGTTATTCTTCACTGCAAAGAATAGTGGTGTCTCTTTGATTACTGTCTTCATGTGAACCAAGTCAGGGTTGGCCGATAATAGCATCTGTAGGCTCAAATTCATCGCAAGTTTCATAATCTTGTTTCAGCTTAGGATGAGAAACACAAACTAGAAAGACTAGACAATTTACCTCAAGTGCAGATAAATTTCCATTTGCAGCAGCAAAGTGTATTGCAGATAAACCCAACTTGTTCTTTTGGTTAACTCGAGCACCGTGTGCAATAAGTAGCTGCATGATTCTGGATACGCAAATGTTATTATTCTCGAGTTGGGAATGTAATCATCATGCAACAATATAATTAAGGTTATTAAGAGAAATTATACCTCGTTTGCTGCTTATGTGGCACAGACGATCCCTTCAGGCTGCATTGAATAGCAGTATTTCCTTCTGCATCTATTTCATTAACATCAATATTGGTGTTTAAAAGCAGTTCAAGAACAGCTTCGTCCCCTTCCTACAGAATTACATTACAACCGTCATTAATTTGCATGTGTAGTTCACATAATAATGGTAATGAAGTAACCCAAGTCTCACCTGAACAATAGAGATAAGCGGTGAGGTTTGCTTATCCACGAAAACTGCAGCACCAAAGAGCTGAAGGAGCTCAATCTCTCTAAGAAAAACAATTCTTTTCTCGCTGCATGCGCCTTGCATCGAGCTATTACTTCGCAGTGCTTCTTGAATAACAGCCTCATATATCGTTTTTCTTTTCGGCTTTGGCACAGAATTATCATCATCCTGTAATGCTACATTTGCTTCTCTAATCTTCTCAGGTGCTACAATCAGCAATGAAGTCAAAGAAACAATCTCACCAGCCTTGGCATACACATAAGCCACAGCGTCCACTTCCTTTGTCTTCTCAGCAAGCATTTTCACAACAGTCATGTCCTATATACGTAAGAAATTACTCAACTTTACACGAAAAAGCTTTGCAAAGTCTCTTACAATCCATTAATCAACAACATAGTTTCTTCAAGCAACACAGTTTCACTACTATCAAGTCCTATATGTAACAAAAGGCTCAATTTTACTTGCAAAGTCTCCATAATCAACATAGTATCTCCAAGCAACCAAATAACGCGTTAAAAGGAATGAGTGTTTAACCTTGTCACCAAGCAAGAAGATCAAGTCTCTAATTGAGTCACTAGTGGGATTCCATGTCACATCAATGCTGCAAAATCGATATAGAAACAAAGTAATCACCCAACAGTATCATCCGCCAGATTTTACAGAATTTTCCAAATATGGTAGAGTTACACATGTTCAAGCTTCATGATTCAAAGAGACGATTAAAGCTTTATTCCCAAATTTAACCAGAGTCAAATAAAAGTCAAATGTGGATACCTACCTGCCATTAGAGAGAGATAGCTCCAGAGGAATCAAAGCGCGTTCATCTTTGCTTCTCATATCAGTACGAGCTCGTCGTTTCAGAAGCATCTCAACACACAGTGGCGCGTGAGACTCAGCCGCCGTGTGAAGAGGCGAGAGTCCTGTATCGTCACTCACATCGTTGATGTACGGAACCGATCCAACATCTCCGTTGATGATTGACGAAGCACACTTAACCGAATCGTAACTACAACAAGCAGTAAGAAGCTTCAACGCTTCGATTCTCTTGGATTCCTCATCTTCTCCGGCTAAGAGACGTTTCGCGTGGAGAACAAACTCAGATTTGTTGTCTTTCAAAACGGAATCTAAAAACGCGTAGTTGTCTCTGATCTTCTCTTCGTCGACCTCGGTAACATACGAACGAACCGGAGCTACTTTTCCGGTGGGATAATCAGAGTACGAGTCCCAAATCTCAGTGAAATCGAAACTCATAGGTCCCTGTAAAAATGAAAAAAACAAAATCGAAGGTTCTAAGCTTTGTTTCAGCAATTCTCAAGACGAAATTAGAAATTTCCAACACTGAAATAGCAAAAAAATGCTTCGATCACGGCGTCAAGCTACTAAAATCATCTTCGTTTCAAGCAAAATAAAAAAAAAAAGTTCCGAGTTCGAGATTCTTCGCACCATTTCCATCTTCGAAACCCTAGATTTTCAGCTCTCTTCTTCAATCACCAAACGGAAAAAAAAACTCCACGAGAAATCGAGAAATGCAGCGGAAATTTCTAGAAAACTTGTGGATTCGTTCAAGAAATTTCGATCGGAGAAGACGAAAACGAGAGCATTTCTTTTTTCCGACGAGCTTTGTTTTTTCTGATGACAGAGAGAGAAGAAGAAGAAGAAGAAGAAGAAAAAGGAAGAGGGAAACAGAATGCTTCGTTTCTGATTTATAGCAGTGACGTGGATGAAGCAGTAGAGTAGAGTAGCACAAAAAGGAAATGTTAAATGACGATAATACCCTCCCTTTCGTGCTCGATACGACAGTTTTTTGCTTACGAGAAGAAGGGTAAATACGGTAATACAACTTTGCCACTTTTCTTCAATTTCGTACTCTTTTGTCTCTTATCATAATTGTTGTTGCAGAAGAAAATAAAAATAAAAAACCTTTGGTCTTCTCAAACGCAAATCAATGCGTTTGCGTTTCAGACGTGAATTTTAAAATAGTGGTAACAATGACAACAACACAGTGAGAGAACAAAAACTTCATTTAACTATGGATTAAAACATGTTAAATGGTTTTTAAACGAATCATCTAGTTGCTTACTTTTGTAATCTAGCTACTAATCAGAACATGTTAGGCGGTTTCAACGATTCATCTGAGTTCAACCATATCTGAAAACAGAGTTTTCTTTCACATTGTTATTATCAGTTGAGGATCTGAAGTTGTAGCTGGAGAAGACGTAGAGACCAAGGGGAACACAATGGAGAGGCAAAAATTACTAGTCCTGGGCGTTCAGATATTCGGTTTGGTTTCGATTCGGTATGATTCGGTTTTGGTTTTTTTTATGAATTTCGGTTTGGTTTTGGTTCGGTTTCGGATCTTAAACGAGAAACTGATCTAAAATCTTATTATTTTGGATATTTTGTGTAATTTCATGAATTTTCAGATATTTTTGAGTATTTTTAGATATATTTGGTTCAATTTTTTTGGAGTTTAAAACCTTATTATTTTTGGTCTAAAACCTTATTATTTTGGTTCGAATCTATATATATAAAGTTAGTTTTTCTCTTCTCATGATGCCGCCTAAGCATCCACCTAAGCCACATTTTTGTTTTTACATTAAAATAAATTTAAAACATTCATTTAGAGCATATTTATGTTACTTATTTAATTAATAGAAAGTTTATATAAATTATGTAAAATAAATGAAATGTTAAAATAAAAAAAACAATACTTTAATTTTTTTATTAATGGTAATAATATAATTCAATTTTCATTTTAAATTGATCATAGTTTAAAATTTTAAATATGTTACTGAGTTTTAGAATGTAAGTAAATTTTAAATTTAGGGTAGAATAAAACAACATTTATGTAATTGTATATATAAAATTATAAAGAGGAAAAATAAAATTGAAAGTGAAATATTAGTTTATAACATGATCAATAAGAAAAGAAAAATGGTATTTCATAAATTGAATCAAATGCTTTTAATACAAATTTGAGTATTCAAAGATAATAATTAAAGAAAAAAATAATTATAATATTTTTTGAAAATTAATTTAAAAAGATAATCAAATATCACAATATGAATAAAAATTAACAAAACAAAATTATAAACCTCCTGCGCGGGGGGTCAACTGCTAGTATTTGTATATTTTGGAGTTTTTTTTCTTGTTTTTGCTTTGATTATCAGATATTTTTATACTTTTTGGTAATTTTTTAGTATTTTTTTCGGTCTAAAGCTAACAAATATTTTAAGTATAAAATTGTATCGTAGCTTCTTGTTTCGGTTTTGGTTTGGTACGATTGAGTTTCGGATACTTTCATATCATAAGTATAAGATCCTTTCGTTTTTGTTTAAATTTTGGTTTGGGTTTTGGTTTGGCGCATTCGGTTTGGTTTTTTCACCCAGGACTAAAAATTACATCCTTGTAGTGCACAACACCGCCTACACAACATTCTCTTAGTTTACCATGGCAAAAGAAAGCAACTGAACTGTGGAAGACATAATCACTCTTAACACAAAGAAGAAGACACAATCAATAACACAGCTCAACCTTGCAACCTCACTCGTTTTCAGATTCGATTTTGTGGAATAACAAATCTGTTTGATGCTTTACACAAAGTCAGTAGGCAACACATGAGTGTACCTCATGTTTTAGCAGGTCTTGTGGTCTCTCATATAAAGAAGTCAGCCTGCACTCAAAATGAAACAAAATATTCAACAAACCAACATAAATGCCTTCAATAGATTCCTTCTGCATCACAGTTAGTGCGTAGAAATTTAAGTAACTATCAATGGGCTCTCGGATGAATCACAAAGTTTGGGCAAAATCTAGTTTTGTGATCACAATCATAGTTACTCAACTAAGCAAATGAGTAAACAAGAACATCCCTAGAAACTGCAGTAACAAATTCAAAAATCAAGAAGTCTTACTCAAAGATGAAAACTTCAAATCTCAGATCAAATGTCCCTGAGAAACGGAAATTTTCGAACGATACGAGTAAATCTAATGACACCATTACTACTCCAGCAAAGCATACGTTGAGCTATAGTTATAAACAATCCAAGCTTTTTCTTCTTCAAGACAGACCTGTGAAGTAGCACACAAACTCACACCATCTAAAACTCTTCTTTTTCGAGACAGACTTGTAAAGGAGCACACAAACTCACACCATTCAAGCTCTTTTCCTTTGAGACAGACCTGTAAAGAAGCACACAAACTCACACCAGGATCCACATAACAATTCCTACTTGACCAACAAAAGCAACTCCACTAAACTCGCATCATCCTCAGCTATATCCTTAAACTTAGTCGGGAACCGCTGAAACAACAAGTACTACGAGTATGACAAAGAGCTCTTGGCACTGCTTTATAACAACAGTAAAGAGAACTTGCACAAGCTTCAGTCTCTAAGACAATACTATTCAACCCGAAAACAACATCATAATTCACCAAAACTGTACAATCTTCAATTATATCAACCAAGTATCCCACTTTTGGCAAATCCAACACTGATAAAGCCACTCTAGACACACACAATCGTTTCCCACAATCTTCCAAACCACAATATTTCATTAGAAACTCCCTAAAACACAAACTAATCACCGCATGAAAGTTACATGTTCTAGCCAAGGCTGAAACTTTAAGTCCTATGTAAAGGCAAAGAATTCTCCATGAACAGAAACTCTAAAGCATAATCTTACCTTCTCATGGGTCATCTTCTTAAGTACCTCTCTAAACGACTAAAACAACTCGTGAATGTCGAAGTAAAACTTGGGACAACCCTGAGACAAACTAGATTGGTTCAACGAAGGTGTAAACGAGCTTGGTATCATCACGGCTACTGTAAGTATAAAGGTGAAGATGTTGCAAAGCTCGTCACAATCTTTATATTAAAAATTGAAACTTTTTGAATACTAAAACAAAAAAATTGAAACTTTGTTGTACCCTTTTGGTTTATTGTAATTATAGATATGATCGACTTCTCTCTTTGTCGCTCTCTCAAACACATAAAAATCCAAACTTTTGAGTCAGTAGATGCTAAATTCCGAGGAGTCGCCACCGCACAAGAAGAGGAAGATGGAAGCATCTCCGTCAACGTTTCCTTTATCATCGTTACCAGATGATATAGCTCTAAAGTTCATAGCTTTATACTCTTGAGATTAGACCAAGCAGCCTTATCTCTCACCTCCAAGAGTAATCGTACTCTAATGGCTTCACCTGATCTCAACAAGATACGATCTTTGATGGGTCGCTAGTGGTTGATGATTTGATCACTAAATGGGGAAGAGTGGTCATTAGAAAGGAATCAGAAGAGATTGGTGTATGGTTGATGATTTGATCTATTGTGTTAGTTCAAAGGGGAAGAATCTATTGGTATGAGTCAAAGGACTGGGATTGGTGTAAAGAAGAAGGTGAACCTGAGAGGATGTTTTCTAATGAGACTCTGAGGGGTAAGCTATCTAGTTCTAGACTTGTCAACTTTGATGTGTGTAGTGTAGCTTTGTGAGAACAGAATACGATCGATTTTTCTTATTCCCAGGGAAGGACTCAGAGTCGGCTGATAGATTTACTTCCCCGGGCTAGACTTATTTTCTCTGGTTCCAATATTGTGCTCTTGTGGGACGAAACTGTGGGGTTATGTGGTCTTGAGATTTGGTGTGCAGAGATCTCTTTAAACTGTGGGGTTATATAGTCGAGATTTGGGGTAACATGGAGTGGTCTAGTGCTGTTATTACAAAGGTTTTGTACTCTATGAACTTGTCTCATCCTTGTTATAGGTGATATGAAGTGGTATAATGTTTTCATGGCCCTTGTATCCTCCTCTCTTAGATTACTACTACTAAACTTTAGGTCTTGTATGTTGCTTCTGTCGTCACTCTATGAACTTGCCTCATCTTTATCTATTAATATAACTTATTTGAGTTTCTCTTATGTTATCTGTAATTGATTTTCATGTTCTAATAGTTTCATTAATTGTTTCCATGCTCCTCCTTTCAAATCACTGTTACATCTCCCTAACATGGGATCAGACTCTATATATAATCTAATTCTGAAACGAACACCACTATTATTTTAAACAGGAAAATAATAGTGAAAGTGAAACATGAATTCTAAAAAATATATATATTTTATGTCTTGAAAATAAATTCATATGCTAATACAGTATATATTATATAAGAGTCAATAGAAGATGAAATGAAAACTAGATGTTGAGGAAATATATGTAGAAGATGACAACATAATTGGTAGTTAAAAAATTAATTACAAATAAATTACTTAAACTTGGAAAGATAATGTATATGACATAAAATATTTGAGATCTCATTCATGGTGTGAACGATTTTTTTTTTTTATAATCATGACAATAGAAATATTATTAAAATTAAAGTTGGGCTTAACCGTTAGGTCATGTAATTTTGAAAAGTGAGATAAGATAGACATATTCGTGAATTGGTCGAGAATTCTATTAAACCAAGCTACACTTTTTTATGGATAAAACAAGATCGGTAAAATTAGTATAGCGACAGGGTATTATATATGTATATCTCTACACTAAATAATATTATATTTGTATCAACATATAATCGTAAATGATATCTACAATTAGGTATCGATAATTAATCTGAAAACTTTGAAGTAAACATCTTCATGAAATAATAATAAGAAATAAATCTCTTAATAATAAAGGTTCATGAACTGATAGTTGATGTCGTTTAATGACCCTTACCTGAAGCTCATTTTAGTTATCAAAAAATTCTACTACCAAGATTTTTTTGGTTAAATTAATTGAACGACCAAAAAATCTATAAAAGAACGTTGCTTAAACTCAAATATGAGGAGAAGGTGTTTGCTTGCATGATGTTGTGACGTGAAAGACTAAAATTCTTTGTCGCCAAACACAACAACAACGACAATACTAGTTAAGCCCAATCATTTAAAAATTAAAAACCCATAACAAAAATTAATTAGCTTTGCATGATTACATGATTGTGTGTACTGAAAATGATAGCTATCATTTGAAGTTTATACATATACTGAGTAATAATAGAAATAATTAAGAACACAATCATAAATAATAAAAATTTAATGGTTAATAGAAATTTACTAAGATATCTCTGCAAAATTAAACTTTAATTCTTAGTAAGAAGTGTTTTTTTTTGTTTAACTTCAATCATATTACAATGTTGCTTGAGGAGGGATTTCCCAGCCTTTCATCTCCTGCTCACGAGCCTTGAAAAATTCTATCAACTCAGGCACAAGCTCCTCATCATTGTGAATTGTCACAAACCTGTCTAAGAAAACATGATTCTTGTAGATCAAGACAGTTAAAATGGAAGGGAGTTCACTTCCAAGCAAGCCTTTGGACGTGAGAGCTTTCACCACATTACACCTTGGTACGATCCTCTCCTCCATGTTGTATGAAAGCATAGCACCGCTCAATCCAGTCAAAGGCCAATCCATCTCCTTCATAAGCAACTTAATATGCAGTACAAGAAGGATGTTGTTTGAGCATCTTCTTGAACTGAATCCTAGGCGTAGAAAGGTTTCATGGGTGTTTAATATGTTTACCTCAAAGATTTCAAGACCAGTATGAAATTTCTTAAACATAAACCATAAATCCTCCACAGCCAAACATATCCTCATATAAGTCTTGATATTTTATGCTACTATTTTTTCATTCATTTTGTAAAAAAAACTTTAGGGCTTCAACGAATTTCGGCTTCCTAGGATCAATACCCTTGCCAAACACTTTATGGATTGATTTTCAAACCTCTTTAAGTCATATACCGGTGTGTGATTAGTTCGAAGCACTCATATCAATTGTTTATGTGGCACTCCAAGTCCTGTCAACATCTAGAAGTTTCCCATAACATATCCCAAATATCCGCCCTTTAGAAAAAGTAAAGGAACATAAGAACAACCCACAACCCTCATCATAGGGCAACCATATTTTTACTGCTTTAAGCTTAAATAACTTTGGACAAACCATGCACGTCCATATGGTTTCTCTTCATCATCAAGCGCAATTTAAAGCGCGAACATATTTTTTCCATTCATTACATGGCTCTTCTCCAACCTTCTTCAGCCATAATACAAATTAGAATCTGAGGTCAAAATGAATCCTAAACCTTACTAACTTAATTTCCTTAACTGCTAAATATAAACATATTGTGTATTAACCATCAAGACAAAATATATATATATGGTAAAACCTATAAATTAATAATGTTGAGACCATGTCATTTTATTAATTTATAGTGATATTAATTAATTAATTAATTTATATCTCTTATTTATATATGTGTTTTTAATTATTTTATTTTTTTTTTAAATTATGAATTGAGACAATTTACAAAAAAACTTGATTAGACTTTTGGAAGTTATAAATTTTATGGTTTTGAAATTGAAATTTTAATATTTAGAAAAAAAATATTGATGATAAATTACAAAATCTATAGATAAATTTGCTTATACACATGACACACATAAATTCAAATTCTTGAATAATAATCTCAATTGTTGTATTTTAATAGACTAAAAACGATCAAAATGAAAATGATGCATATTTGTTTTTTTTTTTTAATGGCAATTAATGTTTTAGCTATTTTTATGAAATGTGTATTTTATAATATCATGGTTTGAAAATATAACATAACAATTTTTTTAATATAAATGAGCTATAGAAGATTATATAATTATAATGTATATGGTTATTAATTTATGATGATAATGGGACTATATATTTACATAGAGAATTCAGAAAAAAATATTATCGTATCGGCTTTTGCTACTTTGCAGTGTTTATTAATTAATAGAGGTTTTACCGTATATATATTTCAAATATGAATATCGATACAATTTCCATTGCGTATTTTGTTTAAAATAAATGAGTTGATTTCCTATTATGCTTCTTTTTGGTTTGTGTATATTAGGATTTCACAAAACAACACACCATTATTAAAAGATGTTAGAACAAGGATTTACGAGTTATATATTTGGTAAACTAATTTCTAGGTCTAAGCATTCTGACGTGCATATAGGGTTTAATTTTACTAATTATAGTCATTTACATTTTGAAAACTATTAAGTATTCATACTTGTTTTAACAAGTGATATTTACAACATTAGAAATTATCGAAATCTTTTGTTACATAATAACACAAGTTATGTAAAGGTTTTATCCATCCGAGCAGTTCACGTGGGGAGCATCGGTGTTATTTGTAAACCACAAAAGATATGAGATTTTCTGGTTATGTATGGATTAGGGACTTAATTGAGTCATAGTGAATAACAAGTATCATCTTCCTTGAACTGATGACTTGTTGGATGAGTCTAGAGGAGCTACGAACTCTCATGAACCTCATAGAGATGAATTTGTTCCCATAACCACTTTGGCCAGATTTTTGATGAATTTCTCATTATAATACAAATAGCTTGATTCCCTAGTCCCTACTAGGTCAATTCACTACTCTTTGATATGTTTTTGGTGTTGATCAACTTACTTTTATATGCGATCTTGCACGACTAGTACTATATATTAGATACAAGCCTAGTGGTTGAACAATGTGGACGAGGCCTTAAGCCCACGTAGTTGTAAACAAACAACTAAGATCTTATCAATGTTCATTTAAGTGGTCTTACTACAAATCCATTGTGTTTGTAAATGACTCCCATATGTTTCTGTGTGTGTGTAACTTTACGGCATTAGCAATGATAGGAAACTAAAGGGAAATGCATGTTCTAAAGGTCTTCTATGTTTCTTATACATTATTTCAAATGAAAGAATAATGTATTCACTTGTATTACTTGGACCTTAAAGTCTAATATTTATACACACTTACAAAGTCTAACCCTAATATGATAAAGTTAAATTTACATAATCCTAATCTACAATATTAGGAAAATATCCTTAATATATATCCTCAATAGCATTGTATCTTAATTTGTGTTTATCAACATTTTCATTTTTTTTTTCATTTCAAATGACAAATATAACCAGGGATCGATTCTTCCCAGACGCAGAATTGCTAACTTTATCCCTTTGGCCACATGGGTATGATGGGTCTCTTGCTTAAGACCCATTTGAAAAACTTGGAGAAGGGGGGAGGGATATACCCGTGGGATACCCTCTCTCAAAGAATTAATCTCGGATCCTTCGATAGGTCCGGGGATTTACCATAGGTAATAAAAAAAAATTAAGAAAAAATGACAAATATATTTATGAATATCTGTCTTTCACATCGTTGCGAGTGAAGTGGTCGAACATGATAAACTCAAAAACAAGAATTATCACATGAATTGGGATACATAATTTTGATTTTTAGAAACGTATAAAAATCTATAAATTTTAAAAAATTTAAACGTTCATATAAATACTATAAAAGCTCATCGAATATATGTTTTCATAAACTATAGCTTCCACTATCATGATCTATGATGTATGTATATATATTTTCTCACATATTAATGATAATTTGAAGTACGTTTGTCTAATTAAAGAAAAAATATAATGGTCGTCGGTCCTAATATTACGGAAAGTGTCGAACAAAATTGAGTATAAGATAAGAGATATTTTAAGCATAATGAAGTAATGTTGGATTAAAGTTTTTAAAACATTTTTGGGATATAATAGAGAGTGTGTTTCAAAGGTGACAAAGGCACCAAGACAAACTAATTAACTATAATTGTTTCAAAGCAAAAGTCATTAATCTTTGACCCTACAACACCCATTTAAAGG